GCAAAATTATAAAATTAATATTGCACGCTACTAAAGCAGATTTTACAATTGCTCTGTAAGTCACCCTACATCACGTCTTTTTTCCGTAACAATTTCTTTTTTTTAAACTTCTGCAAAAGTAGTCCAAATTCCTATTGATCATAAAGCTACTGACTGATTTTAAAAAAGCTCATGAGAAACTGTTCTCTGCCTACAGAATCCTAACTAATGCCTGCAGTGAATTTTATCCAGAATTTGCTACCTTCCAATAGCTTTGAGTTATATATTTTATGCATATACAATAAATAATTTTACATATTATATACAACAAATTGTTCTTGTTACAGAACAATTCAGTAATCCTTAACCCTGCACTGTACAACTCATATATAACTACACTACCTAATACATTCAAGGTTTTTAACTTCCCTGTGATTCAGTAGACCATCAAAAATGGTCCTGATTAACATAGGCTTCTAACTGCCTGTGTAATTAATGCAAGTATTTCTCTAATTCCCTCTATCTGAGTGCCCTGGTACCTGAAATTACTGCTTTCTTCAGCAAAATTAGTTTGCTGCATCATGTCCAAAACTGAGGAATTAAGCTTACTTTTGCAAGACTCCCAACAGTTTTGAACATCAGACCGCTACATTCCTGATACGAAGCCCCAGATTTCTGGCCAGGACCTTTTGTGGTGCATACCCTCAGCAATAGCAGCTCCCAACTCATACACAGGTTCAGCTCAGCCACCATAATTCAAAACAGACTTTTGATAGCATCCTGTTAAACACAATAACTCTGTACTTGTTAGATACAAAATTACTTTCCTGCCTCTATGTCTTGTTAAACTTAAATAAAACACCTTAGATGGAATTACCTTCACAGCTGTGCTATATTTAATTTTGTTAAGCATTTGTAGAGGCATTATTATCTTTTACAACATTTATCTAAAGGCAACCCCACAGCCCACAGCCTGCTCCTGGGGAAAGTCAACGCTGGGTGAGAGGAGCTACCCTGGAAGGCTGTGCATGGCACACTGGCCCACAGCCTAGCACCTCTGGCTCACAAAATCAAGCCTGAAAAGAAGTGTCATTGAGTTTCTTAAATATATCAGCATGGAGAAAACCACAACAAAGGAGAAAAAACTGTTTAATGTAAAATGGACAATATAGACACCAGGGCCCTGGATACTTTTAGGCTGAAAGATAGATGAATATTTCTAATCATGAGAGCTGTGATGGGTTGGAAAAAACTTCCAGAAGGATATAGGGTGGGCAAGACATCTTCTTCATGGATTTCATGGTAAGTTTGTTTTTAACAGCCAGAAGACTTGACTCGGTAGACCGGGAGCCCCCAGCAATCAACCAGCAGGATCTTAGTTCTTTATAACTCAGCCATAGCTTTATCACTGTGATTATGAGAAATCAAAAAGAATCTCTTCATATTAAAGGAGGTGGCAGCTAATGCCCAGATAAGCACTTAAATGAAAACATAAGCATTACAATAGACATTAAAGTGATTATGTGATTATTTTCTGCTTAAGGCTCATTTATGGAATACAAAGTAAAATATTACTTTTTGTTACTTCAGACTAAATCCCAGGCAATTCTACTAATTTCAGTTGCTTCAATGAGATTACTTCAGGTTTACCTTGAAGTAAATGAGATCTGAATTCAACACCTTAATTCTGTGTTTCCTTTGGGGGAACTAAAGCCAAAAGCCCATCATAAAGATTGATTAATGTCACTGATTTCATAGTCATGGGGGTGAGTAAGTAGTGGTGAAGATGTCACAGAGAGCAGTAAAAAGCAGAAGACAGCTTTAACTAGACATTGGTTTGCCTTACCAATTGTCTGCCCTTTGTTGGTTATATGTCAGGATTACACACTGCACACAGATTACTGAAAAATGCAGACCAGCCAATGTTCTCTTGGTTTTTATTTGGAGTAAAGTATCCTTCAAAAGCTATGTTTTAAGCAAACATTTTTTTTTTCTTCTTTGTCACAGCCAAATTCTCCAGTTCAGGAATTTACAATATTTTCCTTTTTCCAGAATGACACCTGCTGGTGGGAGAAGCATGGATGAATTGCAGATATTTTATAGGTTTGACTGTAGTTAACCTGACATATTCTCTGAGCATGCTCATCGCCTGTGTCCAGACAAACTATTGAAAATAAAGATTTGGGAACTGTAAAGGTGCTATAAGGAGTGTGTTATAGAATATAGTTTTCCAATCTGATTTAATATATTCTCTTAAAAAAATCACCAAGCTACCTACCACTAGGTAGATGCTTCAGTGGTGTTGGACCCTACACTTTTTTGGGAAGCCCACAGCATTAATATTTTAGACTGAGATGAAAGCCAGAAGGAAACCCTCCCTGTCCTACGCAAAAAGCTGCTGCACTGCTTCAAACCCTAGAGTGCAAGTAAAACCAGCTCCTAATGCAACTATCGGTGGTTACACCCCAAAAGTTACCATCTCAAAGCAAAGTATTGTACCAACATTCCTAACTTGGTACAGGAGGACATAGCTAGGAAAGACAGAACGCAAGTTTTACCTCTGCCAAAACTGTGACAAATGCTCCAGACAGCATTAAACTCTGTAAAGAGCTTCCATATTCACAGCACCTCTGTTGCCTGGGTCTATTAGTGTAGCCTCTCCTCCAGCTAAACGGGAGCCAGACTTAAGCTTTTGATGCTTCCAACACATTTACAGCAATATTTCCAAAAAGTTATTTCCAATGTAAGAACATTCTTATTGGGAATACACAACTTTATTTCCTCTTTCTGAGATGTCAACTATCCACCATATTCTATAAAGGCAAGCTGAAGTAGATGTGCTCAGAATCCTGAAGAAAACCCTGAAGTTGGACTCTAAAATATCCAGAAATATGAATTATTGAAACTACTCTGAGATATTTTTGGACATTAACTTCTGGTAATTTTAATAAATCAGATTTTGAGAACTGTATGTTTTAAACATGACTTACAAAGAAATATTTGTGAAAAAAATGCCCAGTTATAAAGAAAACAGTATTAGAAATTCAATTCAGAGTTAGAATCCAAAAAAATTCTTTTGAATTATTTACAAGACCATAGGCAAACATACCCATTCAAATATATCCCCCTTGGGTACATTATTAATATATAGGTATTGCTATGACATACCTCACTGTAACATCAGAAGGCAAACTCTCCTGTGGATTACAGTATTAGATGGCATAAGGCTGCAATTTAAAAGACTATGCTACTATTCTTGGATTTGTTACTGGCCTCCTTTATGGCTTTGAGAAGATAACTTCACAACTCTGTTCCTTCAGTTCTCTCATCTGTGAAAAGAAGGTAATATTGCTTTATTATGACAGTTAAATGACTGATTTCCAAAGATTGTTTTTTATTTTGCTAAATGCAAACACATGAAAAGGGGGCACATTGCTCTAAACTCACTGGTAAATATAAGATACATGAGGCTGTTTCAACAGATAGTTTAGATCTGGAGAGTTTCTTTAAGCATATTTCTTGCAAAGTTGATCAAAGCTTCAGTACTACCTGTGTTTATACATACTTCTGTTTATAGTCCTTGTTTATTACATGTATAATTGTGACTATCAAAAGCTGGAACCTTATCATAACTTTAGTTTATCCTCCTTAACCCCCTTAACAAAGCAATGACTTCACAAAGAGGCCAGCTACATCCCAATGCCTTCAGAGTGGGACCTCAGCCCAGGATAATCACTTTGCTGAGAACAGCAGCAGGCTGGAAACAGAAAGACTGATACAATCCCCAAATCTGTGATAGCCTGGCCGTTCTCACAAGGTTTGAGCTAGCTGAAAAGCAGAGAGGAAATTGCAGAGAAGACACTTATGCAAATATGTCCTTACTTTTTACTGACAGAGCCTGAGGAGCAATACCAAAACAGGTTTTCTAGGTGTTTCCACTGTTATTGGCATCATTATTGACAAAAGACCATGATCGTCTTAGTTCTGTGGTAGAATCCCGCAAAATTACCCTTCTCATCCCAAAGACATAGCACTGCTTTTCCTCTCAAATTAGAGGACAGCTTGAGTTTTGAGCTCATGTTACTCATCACCCTTAAGCAGTCTTTCCAGTTTTTAATGCTACACATGGCGAATGCAATGCATGCAGGGATAGAAACACCCTGGAATTCAAATAAGCCTCTGCACAAGGATGAGAGCTCCAAATCTGGACAAATTTTCTGCTCTCTCAACTCTACTTATTGAACTCACATTGCATGGAATAACCTTGGTGTTGGGATTACTTTCATGTCCTTTTATTTCACCTAGGACATTCTTAACTTCAACATTTTAAGCCTTGCTCACAAAGTCGTAAAATATGCTATAGACCCATCCCACTTCTTACTAGGTGGCTACTAGGAAACTGGTTTGGATCCGAGCCCTGCAGCTACAATGTTTCTAAGTGCTCTCACCACTTCTGGTAATGCATTACCAGCATCATTTCCCATAGAAGTCCTCCCATCCCTTCCCCCACCAAACAGCATATGCTCTATGACAAGTCCCAGCTCATCCAAACTCCCTCAGCTGCTAAACCACGCTATGACCAAAAATCTCCTTCTCAAAGTCATTCTGGCTTCAGCTGACCTCCTTGGGGACAGCCATGGGGTCTGCAGATGTGATCTCTAACATCAAAGTTAAGAAGTACTTTAAACTGATAAACACAGAACAAGAAATAACCATATATCATGCCATGGTTTAATTTTCTCACTAGTTTTGCATGTGTAGCTTTTCCTCTGCTTGATAGACATGCTTTTCTTCCCCCTGTAACTAGATTTGGTTGATTCTGTACTGCAAAGTGTACTTTCTTCCCCCCCAAAATATGTGTCCTTACCTTTCTCTTTTTTGTCTCAAGCTTTCCTTGTCTTACATAATTTCTGTATTTGTAAGGGACTTTATTAGTGTGTACCTTTTTGTTGCTTCCTTCAGAGAAATTCCTCTCATTCCAGCTGGAGTCCTGTGCAGCCAAATCAGAGGGAACTGCTTATCTGTAGGGTGCAGCAACTTCTTTAGGTGCACAGGCACCATGCAGCCGCTTCTCAGTCCAAGTACTTGTGCCACAAGGATGAATACAGGGTAACTTATGTTTTCTGAATGTCACTCACCCTATATTGGCTCGAAGAGTTTGGAAGGCCCAGGTTTGCACCTGGGGAAGTGTGCCCATTTCTTCAGAGTACTAAAGGCCGGTGAGTGCTGGAAGTGCAAGGGGAGCACACGCAGGGGCAACACTGGGAAGAGAAATGCTGTGTAGGGAACCAGAGCTCCCAGACACCTGAACCAACCTGTCCATCTGCACTTCTGCTTGTGGGACAGATCCAAACGCAGACACAAGTATGTGCTACCCTCACCACACTTGAGGAAAGCTCACTGCGTTCTTTCCTGGGCAGACAGCCTCCCTGCATGGACCACGGGGCAGCAGAGGATGTGCAGACTGCTCCTTCCTGACCCCCAAATGCAATACAGATCCAGAACCACAACTCTTCTGCACAGAGGAAGTAAGAAAGTTCCTGAGTGTTGTATATTTTTGTATTTCGAATTTTTGCACTGTCATTTTTTTCCCTTCTACACTGTTTCCTTTTCTCTAAGTTGTTTGTCATTTTACAATTCTACCCTGAACACCAGAATGACAGTTATGGTTTTCCGTCCGAAAACATATACTTTCAGCCAAAATGTCATATATTTTAAACCCTAGTAAGAGCAAACAAGAGAGAACCCATACTGTGCATGCCTTCTGTATCTGCACAGGACTGCTAAGCACTGTGGACTGCACAGAATATAATGTCAGTTCATAGGGCAAAGAAAGCATAACTACCTGACCCAAGTAAACTTGATTAGAGAATTGCTATTTCACTACTCTTCTCCTCCTCATGCCCCCTCTACTTCCTTATTTGTTTCCTCTTTCACAGAGAAAAATACTTCCTGGGGACATTATCAAATATGCTGCTGTACCATAGCAAATACTGCACTGAGATCCAGAAAGGTTAGATTTTACAAGATGTCACATTTCTAGTAAATCAAAGCACCAGATTTGCATATCACATTCAAGGAGGTTTTTCAATTTTTTTTTTCTTTTTCATATTAACTACATAGAAATTTCTTTCCTTCAATACCTATTTGCACCCCTAAGGTCAGATTAATAGGCCTGCTCTTGTCCATGCAATTCTCTCCTCCCTTCTTACACAGAGAAACTGTGTTCTTTCCACATGGTCCCTTTTGTCCTTACGAGACATTCACACATATGGTTTCATATACCTGTTCCACCTGAATTCTGGAACAAGTTATCCCACTCCCCTGACTGGAGCCCATTAGCTGTCCTGAGCTTTGTTCCCCTGTTCATTCATTCCCCCTGCCATTTCCATACCCTCAGTAAACCTCCAGACTTTGCTCTGTTGCTAGACCATCATGAGTTTATCCAACACAGATTATAGTTCATCTTCACAGCACAGGAGCCTTTTTCTTTCCCACATTTTTTCTAGACAAAGAACTTTTTAGTATTTCTCTCAAGCTCCTTGCATTTGTTTTTACTTTATTCCTACATATCCTGCCTTCTGAGACACAACTTACTTTGCTGATCCCTCTTTTACCTCTGTCCTTGAATTACATACCAACATCTTTTCTGTGATTATTACCCACATCTTTTCTGTGATTATTACCCATCAGTTTAGATATGGTGCCGTTCTCAACTATTTTTTTCTTTTGCTTGGGATACAACTTCCAAGTAGTTTTCACATCTGAAACTTTAAAAACTCTACCTCTCCTCCACATTTCAACCCCTTGGCTCCTCAATCCAGATGACTTCAGTAAATAATTCATGTAGTATACCAGAATTTTCCTCTTCAAAATCAGGAACCTTAACTACAGTCCTGCTTCTATTTATTCTTCTATTTATTGTAAACACAGTAAACTTGTGAGAACTTGTTTCAAAGTTTCTTTTAGTTTTATTCTTCCATAGAAGTCATGGTGCTCATCAAAGCTAAATCTAAAATAGGATTGATTGAGAAGTCATTTGGTGAAGAAGTATTTCTTCTACCATGTTTATAGGTACCTTGAAAAATAGGTTCCTACTTCTGCATGTCTCCCTCCAACCTACATTTAGGAAGTCTAAATCTCCCATAAAGACATAATTTCCAGTCATTATTTATTTCTCTAATTATACTACAGAGATCTCTGTTTGAGTCTAGATGATAAAGATGAACTAAGGGCTATAGCAGCCATCTGGAATGATCTCCACAGCTTCTCTTTTAACTAACTTTTCCCGAAGTAATTTCAACACAGACAAATTTTGTGTTAGGCCAGCAATCAATACTAATAATAAATTTTCTCTGAGGGAAAATTTATGACACACTGGTTTTGAGAAAGTCAGTATACAATATTCCCAGCTCATTCCCAAAGCAATTGCATCACTGGACAGCACAAATCCCAGGGCTGCTGGACTCCTGATTGCACTAACACTGGGATACCTCAAAGAAGCATCTGTCTGTGAATCTGGAGGCTTTGGGGCTGGGTAGAGTGGAGGGGCAGCAGCCTGAAGACTCAGAAGGCTTGGGGAGTGCGAGCAGAAAGGTCTGATCCTCCACCAGCCTGTCAGGAGTCAAGGGAAGAAAGCCAGAGAGCTGCCAGCTCACCTCATGGATAAGGTGGGAGCTGGCTATGCTGGAGCAGAAGGAGACTTAGAAGGTGGGGGAAAACAGAATCTACTCCCTTCTAATTTTGATGGTGTAGCTTTTGCCCACCTTAAGGGGTGACTTTACCCACTTTGTTATTTACCACCACACCAGCAGTCTGATCAGCCCAACAGAGATCTGAGAGGTGGCCGGCGGGGGTACTGAGGACAGGGCATCAGCCCCCCAGCTCAGCTGCCTCTGGGGCTTCAGTGGAGCTGATGCATCCCAGGGGCAGCATTTTTCACCCTGCACATGGCATTTTCCAACTGAGCATGGCCCCACATGAAAACTTTTGACAAGCTCTTGTCTGCAGTGCACTACCACCTCCAGTTACCAACAGAATATTTAAATCTTTCACAAGCATTACAAATGTGAAGCAAGACCAGCATTTCAGCCACAAAATAAGTAACACCTCTGAAGCAGACTCAACAAGAAGCTTGTGGGAATTTTCGTCTAGTATTATTTACTACTACAAATTACTTACCAGATCTAGCCTGTTCAGACTGTTGCGCTTGTTACACTAACAGAAAAAAAGCTGAATTCTGGGAGTCTTTTTTTGTTGTGGTGTACCCTCACTCACTTTCACTAAAATGATATGAAAATGATGCCTG